TTTTCAATCTCTGCTGTTTGCTTCCAATATATTCAGTTACATTTTAAATTTGGCTCTCAACAATTCTATATGGAACTTTTTCCCCTTAAATAATTAATTAGGCTTATTGTAAAGTTAAGTGATAGCTTTATGTTTAAAATGTCAAACACAAACCTGTAAAAATGTTAACCCATTTGAGTTCTAGAGGTCTAACGAAGACTCATTCTCTATACAACTTTCTTGTGGCACTTCCTGGTGTGTATTAGAGTGCAAAGTAAAAGCTTATTTCATGTCTGTATGTTTTAGTTTTAGTTTAACATGCATTCTTTCTGTTATGGGGCGTGCATACTGGTGATGTTATGGAAAGCTTTCTCATTAGCCTATCCATGAGGAAAATTAAGATTGTCTTGCTGTGTTCCAGGGAAATAGTCAAGGCTTCCCTTTTTCTCTCTTAAAAAGAGAGAAAAAGGAGAATAAAAGGATATGTCAGGCATGTACATAACTGTGCTATTGGCAGATAACATGACTCCTTTATGAATGTGTGACTTTCTGAAAACTCTTGTTTTAAAAGAATTTTTTCTGTTAGTCATTGAATAAGAGTTTTTTTCCATATATAAATAGATTTTTTCAATTCTTCCAAGCCTTGTTTGGTCAACTCTAAACTGAGCCTTCATAGCATTTGTTTTGTCCACTTCTGTTGAAGGTTTTCTGCAGAAAGAATCTCAGTTGTGACATTGTATGGATTCCAGTGAAATGATCAGAATTCAAGTTTCTAGTGTACTGTGCTGTAATGAGCTGCTAATTGAAGGTGACAAGCTGTTTTTTTCTTCCCGGTTGGTCTGGCAAAATGTTAGATTTCATTCATTATTAACTCATTGCTTCTCAGCAGAGGACTGGATTAATTAGTTGGGAACATTAGGAAAAAAATTTTTGCCTTGTGTCAGTGTTAGAGATAGAAGTTCAGGTTTTATTCGGTTCTTCCCCTCCTCCAGTTTGGCCAGTTGTCTACAGTTGTGTAAGGACTCTCCATAATCAAGACACAGCAATGTTTCCAGCATCCCGTACATTTTTCATGGCATTTCCCTCTTTCCCTTCCCCTTGGCAACCACTGATTACTTCCTATGATTATAGTTTTACCTTTCTGCCTTTTCATGGAAAGGGACTCATGCAGTGCGTAGACTCTGTTTCTGGCTTTTTTCTACTTCATAATGGTTTTGAGATTCATTTATGTTGTTGTATGGATAACTCGTTCTTTAAAATTGCTGAATAATATTCCGTTGCTTCAGTATATCACAATATGTTTATCCATTCACCTATTGATCTACATTATTGTTTTGTTATTATGAATAGGAAATTACCTAGACGTGACATATGGTAAGGGTATGTTTAATGTATAAAAGCTGCTAAACTATTTTTCAGAGTGACTGTGCCATTTTGCATTCCCAACAGCAATATATGACATTTTAATTACTTTGTATTCTTCTATTACCAGCCTTTTAAGTTTTAGCCATTCTAGTGAGTGTAGTGGTATCCTTTAGTGGTTTAGTGGTTTTAATTTGCATTTCACTGTTCAGCACCTTTTCAAGCACTTAGTTGATGTCTCTTTATTTTCCTTGGTAAAGTGTCTTTTAAAATATTATGGCCTTTAAAATGTGTTGTATGTATCATTATTATTGAATGATAAGAGTTCTTTTTATGTTCTGGACAAACCCTTTGTCCGATACATCTTTTGAAAATATTTTCTCACAATATGGGACTTGCTTTTTCATTTTTAAATATAAAAGTTGATAATTTTGATAATTTTGGGTTATCAGTTATGTCTGTAACTCATGCTTTTTCTTATTTAAGAAATGGATTTTATCTAAATTTTGTTCTAGAAGCTATTTGGTTCTTATGTTTGGTCCTTATGTTCTTAGACTGTGATCCATTTTTGAGTTAATTTTTATATGTAAGTTAGGGGAAATTTTAATTCCTTCCATGCAAATATCTAATTTTTAAAGGCGACATTTGTTCAAAAACTGTTCTTTTCATCGCTTAATTATACGGTATCTTTGGTGGAAATCATTTGGCCATATGTGTGAGTTTATTTATGGCTCTCTATTCTCTTCCCTTGACCTGTATTTATTTGCTCAGACCAGTATTATAATACCTATTTTTCCCTTAAATTGAGATATAATTGCCCTGTGACATTGTCTTAGCTTCAGGTATACGATATGATGATTTGATATTTGTATATATTGCAAAATGGTCACCACAGTAAGTCTAGTTAACATTTGTCACCACACAGTAACCATTTTTTTTCTTTTGGTGAGAACTTTTAAGATCTACTCTCTTAACTTTTAAATATATAATAAAGAATTGTTAACTCTAGTTACCATGCTGTATATTACATCTGCATGACTTGTTAATCTTATAATTGGATGTTTGTTCCTTTTGACTATCTTCTCCCATTTTGCATACCTTTACCTCTGGCAACTCTAGTCTGTTCTCTATATTGATGAGTTCAGGTTTTTTGTTTTTTAGAATTCCACATATTAGTGAGTGCATACAGTATTTGTCTTTGTCTGACTTGTTTCATTCAGCATAATGACCTGAAGGTCTATCCATGTTACAAATGGCAAGATTTCCTTTTTTTTTTTTTTTTTAATAAAATGCCTGAACAATACTCCATTGCGTATCTGTATCTGCATCTAACACATTTTCTCCATCCATTTATCCATTGATGGACACAGGTTGCTTCCATGTCTTGGCTGTTATAAATAGTGCTGCTATGAACATGGCAGTGCATAGTGTATCTTTTTGAGTGAGTCTTTTTTTTTTTTTTTTTTCCATCAAATACCCAGTGGTGGAATTGCTGGGTCATATGATAGTTATGATAGTTCTGTTTTTCCTTTTTTTTTTTTTTTTTCAAGTTTTTATTTAGTAGGATATCTAAACATTTTTATTTAAATGATTGATAGAATTTACAAATGAAGCCAGTTTTGAGGATTTCACTGTGAGAAGTTTTAAATTATGAGTTCAGTTTCTTTTATAGATATTGGGATATTTAAATTATTTGTTTCTTTATAGATTGGTTTATATTGGTTACAGAAAACGAGGTTTTAGTTCATAGATTCTTTTTCTTTTACTTACTCCAGTTTCATTTCATTTCATATTGTACTACTAGTTCCCTCATTGAACTTTTATTGGATTTAACTTGCTGTTCTTTTCCTACTTTGTTAAGATGGAAACATCAATCTCTTCATCTGTTCTAGTGTCAGGAACTCAGTGTCTTAATTACTATACCTTTCCAGTTAAGTCTGATCATGTGGAATGCACATTTTATTTATTTATTTTTAAAAATATATTTATTTATTTATTTATTTGACACAGAGAGAGAGAGAGATCACAAGTAGCCAGAGAGGCAGGCAGAGACAGAGGGGGAAGCAGTCTCCCCGCCAAGCACAGACCCGATGCAGGGCTCGATCCCAGGACCCTGAGATCATGACCTGAGCCAAAGGCAGAGGCCTAATCCACTGAATCACCCAAGCGCCCCTGGATTATTTATATACATTTTATTTTTTAAGATTTTATTTATTTGACAGATAGAGATCACAAGTAGGCAGAGAGGCAGGCAGAGAGAGAGAGGAGGAAGCAAGCTCCCCGCTGAGCAGAGAGCCCGACGCAGGGCTTGATCCCAGGACCCTGGGATCATGACCTGAGCCAAAGGCAGAGGCTTTAACCCAGTGAGCCACCCAGGTGCCCCTATATACATTTTAGAATGAGGTCTCATTCTGGTCAATTTTTTATTAGGATAGAACTGTATCAGTTTAGAAAGTCTGTCAGCCTGTGTTATGTGTACTTCAGTTTATTTTGCTTTGTTTTGTTTTGTTTCTTTTTGTGTAAATATGTCAAAATCTAAGATTTATTCCAAGGTATTCAGTATATTCATATATTCAACATATATATTTTTAAATTTCATTTTATAACGGTTTGTGCTTAATTTATAAAGAAAAAAGCGCTGTTGTATTAGTGACTTGGGTAAATTGATATATCAGTTAACAATCCATATTAATGACGCATATATTAATGGTTCATCTTTATTGTGAGGTTGTCTTTTTTTTTTTAAGATTTTATTTCAGAGAGAAAGAGAGAGAAGTGCAGTGGGGGTGTGGGGCAGAGTTTAGAAGCAGACTCCCTGCTGAGGAGTGAGCTGGATTCAGGGCTCAATCCCAGGACCCTGGGATCATGACCTGAGCCAAAGGCAAACGCTTAATGTACTGAGTCACCCAACCACCCCTATTGTGGGGTTGTCTTTATGTATATTTTGATGTACAGATTTGTATTACTGGGTTTTATACTTACACAGTCAAGTTCTTGGCAAATAATGACAGCTTTATTTCTTCTGAATAGTAATTTATTTTCTTCCCTTATGCACAGGACTTTACGTACTATGTTGAGTAGATGTGGTTTGATAATGAATATTCTTTTCTAGTTTTTGATTTTAGGGTGAAGATTTTCAGTGTTTTACCATTATATATGGTTGATAGTTTTTATTAGTTTTAAGGTTGCTATAATTTATCAGATTAATGAAATATTTCTTACCATGAATAAGTTTTTAAGTTTATCAAATACATATCTACATTTATTAAGATAATCTTATGATTTTTTTCTTTTCTATAGTAATAATTTGTTGAGTTTCATTTTCTTTTTCCCAAATTTTATATTTCTGAAATGAGTTAATTGGGATATATTATGATTTTTTTAGTAGTTCAAATCAATTTCCTTATATTATATTAGGGGTTTAACAATCATGTTAATAAGAAAATGTAGAGTTTTTTAATTGATCATCCATGTATTTTATTTCAGATTTATCCATTAATGTTCTTTTTTAAAAAAATATTTCTTAATTGATTTTGTTGTTGTTGTTGTTATGTTCAGTTGGCCACTGTGTTAGTACACAATAAATCATTGAAAATATAGAGTTTACTGGCCCTGCCACATTTTTTAAAAATAATGGCTTTTTTTTTTTTTTTTTTTAGCACAAGTCCACCTTACTGTTGTGTAGATCTATATTCACTTCGTACTGGGGAGATGGTCAAGTCTATTCAGTTTAAAACACCTATCTATGATCTCCATTGCAACAAACGGTAAGCATTTCTTTATGTGTTTTTCAAAGTAAGGTACCTCCCGGGCAGGTAGAGCTCTACTAGTATCATTTGCCATCTGTGATTTTGAAGTCCCAAAATACCTTCTGAATTCTGCCAAATGGAGTAGCTAGCTGTTAAGATTTCTGAATTAATGTTATCAAACTTCCAGTCTTGACCCATTAGTGAATTAAGTTTAGTGAGTCATAACTAGCATTTAAAAACTGAAATGGAAAAGAATAAAAAGTATCTGAGCAAATGTACAAAGATTAAGTATTGCTTTGAGGAACTTTTTTACATGCATAACATAATGTTAATGGATAGAATGTATGTGGATCTGTGGTTTATGATATGCAGTATAACTTTCCTGTTAACATTCATCAAAACAAAGCATATTCTGAATAATAAAATGGCTTTTAAATATTGTTATTTCTTTATATTTCTCAGTAGAGCTAAAACACAGACTAGGCAGATTTTCCTTCTTTCATCTCTAGGAAAATACTCAGATCTGGGTTGAACCTGTCCTCATGACAGTGAAGAATTAGTTTATAGCCACTGAACATTAGGGAAGATAGGGGCTTTAAGAATCTCTGTTACTCAGTACTTCCTTTTACATTTGAGAAAACTGCAGCCCTGCAATAGTAAATATCTTGATCGAGGTCACGGATGGAAACTGTAAATCTTACATCTCATAAAAAAGCAAATACATGGAATGTGGAAAACACAATAATTTATGCTGTGTCAATATAAAATAAATTTTATAATAAAAGACTCTCAGGTTAGATTTTAAAGGGATTCGAAGAATGACTCAGAAAGGTTGGTTGTAAAAAGAAGGTAAAGACATACCTGACAAATATAAACTAAAAGAACATGTGGGTTTGATACTAATGATAAAAGTATTTGAATTCAAGCAGAAAAATGAAATAGGACAAAGAAAAGCTGTTCAGTGATAGGGTGCCATTTATAGTGGAGATCTAATTATTATGCATATTTATACTTCAAACTCAAAATTATAGGAAACAGAAATATTATTGCTGGGATAATGTAATTATCCAATGACACATCAAATTATTCAAAATCAGCATTATTGAGTGGGTGGATCCAGTGGGTAATATATTTAACCTGGGGAAAATATAATGAAAGTTCTTCTTCAAGTGTCCTTTGTGTTCTCACAAAATAGATTATGTACATATTTAGTCAAACAGAAACTTAAACACACTTTGGAAAGGGAGATTAAGTACAAATAAGATTTTTAGGTCACAATTTACTTGTATTACAAATACACAAATATACTAGAAAACAGAAAAACGCAGTACAGTCGAATTTTATAAAAAAGTATTTCTTGCATTATTTTTTTGAGCTGTTACAGTAAATCTGTACTTATTCCAAATACTTTGTTTCTGGATGATGCAGTTAGGTCAACTTTTCTTAAAACAGATATTTTTGTGTTTATTACTTTTAATTTTAACTGTGAAATAATGAGCACATTTAATATTTCAACATATATAAATTACCATAAAAATTGATGCAGTTAATCTTTTTGTAGTCATCTGTGTGCTCATCATAGGTGATTAATGATGGTGAAACTTCTGAGTAGGAGTAAAAGCAGATAAAAGTGATTTATAATATGAGATGTCATTAATGAAAAGTGATTACAAAATTCTCTGGAAATTTTTTTGATGTAGCAAAGGTTCATATTCGCCTTTTTTTTTTTTAAATGAAAAACCGTTGAAGATATATGTTCCAACAAAAACACCTGTAGATTTGGACACATTCTGTAATTTAAAAAAATTAATTTTCCATTTAGAAGTTACATGAGTTCAAATGTGGTAAAGGTTAGAGGAAAAGTTATCATGTGGATGTCGGGATACTGCTTAGATTTTGCTCTATAAAATGTCAAATCTGATTCTCCCTGGTTAATTCTGCATTTGGTTTTGCAAATCAGCGATATGACACAGTCTTTTAGATTTAGGAATATTCATAATAAATTAATCCGTCCTTATGGAAATGATTTTGTATGTTACTATATTATGGGGAGGGGCTGCTTGATTATAAGAAAACCTTTTTATCTCTGTTTGTCTCTCTGCATTTTCTTTCTTTTGAGTTTGTCACCTTTTTCTTACGGATTCTCTAAGCCTTTTAACCTGGGTCTGATGATTGGTTGGTTTCTTATGTTAAGTGCCATGACAGAATCATTTATTATGTGTTGTCATCTGTGTTAAGGATTTTGTTCTGCATTAGCAAATGAAATAAGATTAATAAAGCATGCATGTTAAAGACAACATTTTCTTTTTTTCCCCACTCATCATTAACATCTGTTACTCAGATTTACTTTCCCCAAATTTGGAAAAATACCCTGAGCATGTTAAATATTTAACAATTATAATCTTTTATTTGATTATTAAAATAACTTTGCAGGTTGGATCTTTATATTAATGTTATGCAAAGAAAAGTACTCAAAAACATAATTTATAAAGTAATCTCATCTGGGATGTATTTTAGGAATTTTGGTTATAAAATACTTTCTAACTCTTATTTTTCTAATTTTTTTTTTTCTTTTTAACAAATCTTGGGTTCTGGGAGAAATATAGTTCATAGAGATTCTGATTAAATTTTAATATATTGAGTCAATCAGAAATGACTCATTTATACTGAATAATAGTTGTCTGAGCTTCGTTTCTTTCTTTCTTTCGCTCTTGCGTTGGGAAATTCAGCAATCATTTTAAGTGACAGGTTACATAAATCCATTTTATGTTTAATTCCATGACTTTGAGCCCGCACTGGAAAAACACTTTTAGTAAAAGGCCAGCAGTTTATTGATTTCATACATTCCTAATGAAGATAGATTTATTTGATTTATAATGAATGAAAATAAAGTTTTATTTAGAGGAAAATAATGTTTTGAGCTATAGTTTCTTCTGTGACTTTTCTTCTTCTAATCATGTCTTTCTTGATTACAGTAAGGATTTTGTGGTTCTGTTTTTACATTTTAAGAGGCTGATGTTTCTTGACTAAATTGCATTGGTGGATACTTCTTTAAATCTAATGATTTAACTTATTTATGATTTAATTTACCAAATTTCACGTTCTCATTTTTTGTTGTTTTTTTCCTCCCCCTCTAATTTTAGGATCCTCGTTGTAGTCTTGCAGGAGAAAATTGCTGCCTTTGATAGCTGTACTTTCACAAAAAAATTTTTTGTCACAAGTATGTATCAACTTGGTTTATTTCTTATAATATGCTTTTGAGTTTATGCTATTTGATAGACTCAGCAAACTTATTGTAAATGTTACATTAGTATTTTGTGGTTAGTTTTAGTTGTTTTGATATTCCTGTGTTTCTGTGGATCTCTTACTACTCTCATTTTATGGTATGTATTTACAACCCACACCACATTTTTTTCCTCTTAGTGAGCAAGCCTTGTACTATGTTGCCTCAGTTTCTCCTTACATATTCTCCTTGAGTAATTGTGATTAACTTAGGTTCATGTAGCCATGCCATACTTTTGAAGCTGTTGTTAAATTATTTCCTTAACATAACATTCTTGAAGAGATAACTGGATTATCATATATGAGGGATTTGAAACTTAGAGAAATGTGACAGTCTCTTTCTTTTTCTCCCTCCTTTTTTCTTCATCTCCCACGACTTCCAGTACTGTTTGAAAGTGCAGGAATCTGGAGCCACATACATACTCACTGACTGGCTGATTGATGTTTGTTTTTTGAAAGGAATTGTTTCATGCAGTTGTAGGGAGGGGCTGGGAAGTCCCAGGTCTCTGGGGCAGGCCAAGAGGTGAAGGAGATTCCAGCAGGAACAGAGTTCAAATAAAGTCTTGAGTTAGAATTTTCTTTTTTGTGCTCGCTTCGGGAGCACATATACTAGAATTTTTTTTTTTTCACTACACAGTAGTAAAACAGTAGTTTTCATTCTTGTATTTTAACTTCTTGAACTCTCCATCAAAGCTGTAAGCTGTTTTTTCCAGAGGCTGATTATGCACGTGATGTAGAGATAGTTTTGTTGGAACAGATTTTGTTTTTTTTTATAACTAGGGAATCCAACTCATATTGCTGTTGCTTTTGAAATACCACAACTATTGGGGCGCCTGGGTGGCTCAGTGGGTTAAGCCTCTGCCTTCGGCTCAGGTCATGATCTCAGGGTCCTGGGATCAAGCCCCACATCGGGCTCTCTGCTCGGCGGGGAGCCTGCTTCCCCTCTCTCTCTCTGCCTGGCTCTCTGCTTACTTGTGATCTCTGTCTGTCAAATAAATAAATAAAATCTTAAAAAAAAAGAAAAAAAAAGCCTTTAAAAAAAAAAGAAATACCACAACTATTTACATACTTATTCATTAGGTGTTTACCTGATACCTACTATATATTAAGCCCTGGGTAGTAGACATATCTTTTCTGATTAGAGGTCATGTTCCTGAGATAACTGATACATTATCATTTATAGGTAGTTGCATATATTATATAAGATATATAACACATAATACAATAATTCATTATAATGTATAGTTTATGATTTGGTAGATTAGGAAGAAGAATTATGAGAGTTTGTATTTCTTAATTTGCAATAGTCTCTCACAGATCTACAAAGATAGTAATGGAGATTATGTTCATTGAGATAATTTTTGTTTTCTCACAGACTCTAATGTATACCATTCATATATTTAGCCCCTGGGACATTGAGCTAACCCAGCGTAGGCTCTCATTAAATATTTCTTGAACGAGTGAGTGAGTACATTAATCCAGCTATCATTGATTTTATGTAAAAATGTAAAAAATTTAAATATGTATGTATATGTAAAAATATGTAAAAAAATTAAAAAGTTTTTGAGGAGCATATATTTGTTAATAACATCTTCATTCACAAATGTATTTTATATATAATATGGACAGCTTTGGATATTACATGGCCTGTTTTAGTATATTCTTTTTATACAGTTCTTATGCATTAATATATTACACTGTATTTTGTTACTCATTATAATTAAAATAATTAGAGAAATAGAATGTACATAAGTAACCATGTATGAATCTATCTGTTACCTCCATATTTGTGAGCTACATAGCAGTGAATCAGGACAGAGTATGCATATTTCAGCCAGATTCAGATACCAGGTTTTCCTGAGCATTTATCTTACATTTTATCAGTGGTCTTCTGTCCTTCATCATTAATCAATGATATGTGTGTCTTGGCTTCTGCAAAGTCAGATATCTCTGTTGTGACTCCATACTAATTTTACACTTAGAGTCTGTATTCCTTAGTAGCTGCTTTTCCCTTCTAAAATAAGGTCAGGAACCTAGACCTACTTTCTTTTTTATTTTTAAAATGTAATGATAGCTTTTGCTCCCTCAGCTGGGTGTAAAATTGGAGGAAAACATCCCACATCATTATTTGTTAAGATAGTTTATTTAAGTGGCAGTGTATGTTTTGAAATTTAAACCTTATTTAAACATTAGGCTGGAAGTAATATTGTATTTGTCAATAGATTTGTTTTCTTTGTAATAAATGTTGGGTATAAAATCAGTTATTATAGTAACTAAAGAGAAGTTAATAACTATAAATAAGCTAATAATAGAAATCTTTATAGAGCATGTTTATGATGTTGTTTTTTTTAGTAAATAAGTAAAAAATACAGATTTTCAGTAATTAAATACCCAGGATAAAAATTTAAAAGAAAAAATAAGCTTTCTTATAAAGGAACAATTTAAAATCTTTAGATTTAAGTAAGAATGAAAATTCACATATAATTAATACAGTGTTATATTTGTCTCAGATACACAATGTAATAATACAACATTCCTATATATCACAATACTCATCACTATAAGTGTTCTTAATCTCCTTCACCTATTTTGCCCACCTTTCTCCCCCTCCCAGTTCATTCTCTGTATTTAAGTCTTTTTTTGGACTCTCTTCTTGATCATTTGTTTTGTTTCTTAAAGTTCACATATGAGTGAAATCATATGATACTTGTTCTTCTCTGACTGACTTGTTTCACTTAGCATAAAACCACTAGATTTATGTATTGAATTTATAATTAGATTTGAAGGACACTGGCTTTTTAATATTTTTGATACACTAGAATGAGAATAGGCCTATCAGAGTACTCTGTTTAATTGAGAAAATGGGCAATATTATATGTGATAATAGTAACTTTTAAGCTTAGATGGTCTAATAAAATTTTCTATAAAATGATGTAGATCTGCCTTATATCCTTAATTGTATACCTCTTACAAATAGGTGAAATATGTTTCTACTAACATGAGTGTCTGTTATTTAACAGGCAATGGGAAATGTATTTGTTTCATTTTTTTCCTTAAAGTTTTTATTTAAATCCAGTTAGTTAACGTAGTGTAGTGTTAGTTTCAGATGTAGTATCTAATGATTCATCACTTATGTACAACACCCAGTGCTCATCACAAGTACCCTTCTTTTTTTTTTTTTAAAGATTTTATTTATTTATTTGAGAGAGAGAGAGCATGAGAGGGGAGAAGAAGATCAGAGGGAGAAGCAGACTCCCCATGGAGCTGGGAGCCCGATGTGGGACTCGATCCTGGGACTTGGGGATCATGACCTGAGCCGAAGGCAGTCACTTAACCCACTGAACCACCCAGGCACCCACAAGTGCCCTTCTTAATACTCATTACGCATTTAACCCATCCCCCGATCACCTCCCTTCGAGTAACCATCCATTTGTTTTCTGGAGTTAAGAGTCTTTTTTCTGGTTTGCCCACCCCCCCATATTCATCTGTTTTGTCTTTTTAAATTCCATATATGAGTGTTTGTCTTTCTCTTCATATGGTGTTTGTCTTTCTCTGGCTGATTTATTTCACTTAGCATAATACTCTCTAGCTCCATCCATGCTATGCAAATGGCAAGATTTCATTCTTTTTGATGAATGATGGCTGAGTAATATTCGTGTGTGTGTCTGTGTGTGTACGCACACACACACAGACACACACACACATATCCTCTTTATCTATTCACCAGTCAATGGACATTTGTGCTCTTTTCATAATTTGGCTATTGTTGATAATGCTGCTATAAACATTGGGGTGAATGTATCCCTTTGAATAAGGACCTACATGTAAGAATTTATAAAAACCTATGATACTGTAAGCTGTAAATGCAATTTGTCTTCTAAAATCTTTGTTTTTTGTACATTGACAATATTTGCCAATTTGTGGAGGAGTATTTTGCAATTTGAGATTTTGCTATAGAAGGATTTGTTTGTAGAATGTTCTAACTTGGGCCTACTTACAGATTTTCTGTCTGACCTAAAAAACTCAAATACATAAAACTCTTGAATCAATTGGCAGAATCGGTATAGAAAGTGCCACATTGTTAAAATTAAGGAAATTTCATATACTCTTGGGATTTTAAATCATTTATAGTGGAAATAAGAATGAAAATGTTTTTAAGCAAAAGAAGAGTGACTAGAAAATGTATTCTTAGTTTTCACTCTTCCTTGAAATTATGTGGTTCTTTTTTTTTTTTTGCTTTATTTTTTATTTATTTTTAAAACAATTTTTAAAATTTTTTATAAACATATAATGTATTCTTAGCCCCAGGGGTACAGGTCTGTGAATTGCCAGGTTTACACATTTCACAGGAAATTATGCATTTCTTACAGAAAGAGGAATTTTTAGTTACCTTAAAATAGTTAAATGTATTTTTTATTTCTAATGATTTTTCTTTTTTTTTTTTAAAGATTTTATTTATTTATTTGATAGAGAGAGATCACAAGTAGGCAAAGAGGCAGGGAGAGAGAGTGAGAGGGAAGCAAGCTCCCTGCTGAGCAGAGAGCCCGACGTGGGACTCGATCCCAGGACCCTGGAATCATGACCTGAGCCGAAGGCAGCGGCTTAACCCGCTGAGCCACCCAGGCACCCTGATTTTTCTTTTTTGATAAACATTTAGTGATATGGTGAAAATATTGTGTTTTATTAAACTATTAATGCCATAGAAATACTATTTCATCTCCTGTGAATGTTGTTCAAGAATTTTTTTAAATTTTTATTTTGGGAAGTACATAATGTTATTTAAAGAAAGTAGTAGTATAATGAACCACCATGTACTTACCTAGTTTCAACAATTATCAATTCATGAACAATCTTTTTCATTTGTACCTCTCCAAAGATCATTTCCAAATGATCATATATAATTTATCATCTAAACTGAGATCTTCCGATTTGAACAAC